GGGGGGGGGGGGGGGGGGATTCATTGGTTCATTTGATTATCATTATTTGAGTGATCTTTATGGGTCACTGATTCTGATCTGACCATCGAAATGGAGTGCACCCTTAGATAAGGATGCAAAGCTATAAGGAAGCAAAATTTGAGCACTGATGTCCAAGAAAAAGCTGATTAAGCTGATTTTCTGATTAAGTTGCTTTATAAGTTGCTTTTCCTCCAACTTCATTTTACACTGCTACTTCCTGTAATAGCTTTCCAGCACTAGAAAATCACAAACATTTTTAAAATGACACCAAAATCGGAAACAAAAACAGTTGACTCAAGTTAGCTTTGCCCTAAAGGGCATAATGCATTTCTAACAAAGGGCCAAATTTAAAAGGGGAAAAAACCTTTTCCTTCCCAACCACGGCACACAATGTTGTGCCACCATTCAAGCTACAAATAGTACTCTGAGTGGAAGGGAGGGCAAGTGACGGTGGATTGTTTAGTTCTCGAAGTTACCCCATTTGACAAAAGTGTCTCAACTATTATGTCAATGATTGCGGCTTAAGTTGAAAAAGTGAAATTCTATTTTCTGTTTGGGACACATTAGCACAGATTTTGTACCTGTGGCAACAGGTAAATGGTTGAGCATGTGATCACATGTGAGACCATTTTGTCTGAGGTTATGACATGCTTATGTGTCCTAATGAGATCCAAACAGTTGTCTGTGCAGCCATTACTAAGGTGAAATGGTAGACTTTCTGAATTCAAGTCCTTTGCAGTCTGGTAGACTTGTTCGCACTTTGTTGTGTCCTTTTGTCAACTTCTGTAGCTCAAGTTGTAGGCAAGACATCATTAGTTAAGACCTGATGACCTGAAGACCAGTCCTTGCCACAGGCCTACCACATCCATGCATAAGTATAATAAGGTACATGGACTGGCCAGATTGTAGGCTTGATGTTTTGGCTGAATTCTGGTCCAGCTATTAGGCACTTTGACATGTTTTCTCATTTTACTATCATCCCTACTGACTAAAGCAAATATTATTTTGAATTTCCTGAAACGGCTCCCGCTCCAAACTTAAGTTCTCGTTCAAACTGTTCGGCATTAAGAGTTCCATCAATAGCTTCACAGTTTTCATTAAACACAGAGTAAGGACTGGGTTCCCAAGGCTTCCTTGATCCTGCTTGCATACTTACATACACCCAGTAAAACATTGAAAGGATAAAAAACACGGTTCCAAACTCAATTTGAATGAAGAAACCCCAGAGTACTAACCAGAAGAGAAGTTTTAAGAATAATATCAACCAGTGTAAACTACGTTCATTTTGTTCTGTCACAAAATTGCTGAAAATCTTTGTCCCAAATGAAAACGTAGGTCTCCATACACTCCATCTGCTCTCTTTGTATTCTTTAGCTTTCTGAGCACGGTACTTTTGCAATTCCTTCTCCATGAATGTCAAGATAACGGCGGAAATCTTCAACTAACCTTTGCCTGCGTGTCATCCGCCATTTTAAAAATTGTTTTTGTTTTGGCGGGAGGGCTGGGGAGTAATCTTTTCACCGCTGCTCAAACAGAACTCAGGCGCATTGATTGCGTAAAAGTGAATTTCCAGCCACGAGACCTGATTTTAGAACGCCGATTACCATTGGTCGAGTCACGAAAGGCAGCAAAATTTCTCAAGAATAAACCAATCAGAATAATTTTAAGAAAGTACAACATGTTGCATAATTTTCGTTCCCAGACTCCTAATTTTTTACCTCACTTTATAATGGCGGGCGGTCAGACGGTGAATGCATGTGCTAAGGTTCATCGAGAAATCACTATCACGGTCTCTAAGGTTTTCATTTCTGGTTATAAACAATAGCATTTCTTCCTCCTCCAAGATGGCTCCTACTGTAAAAGCAAACGCACCCACAGAAGTGCAAATAGGTGAGCTAGCTAGAAATGCACAGTGCATCTTACCATCTTACTTTTGCACACGCCGGCGTGGGGGTTTATTTTTTTGTAAATATTTGACTGTGTTCTATGGTCTTGGACAAGTATTTTTTTTCGGGGAACTTACTCAGACGACCTCAGACTAAAATAGCAATAGGCTTGTCAGTGATATCTTTCCTCGGAAACTTATTGACACTCATTCACAGTCTGCCTAGCCATAGGTCTAGATCTATATCGTTATAGACGATTAAGCTTGTTTACCAAAATCTGTGCTTTTACGTTAGATGTGTCGGCAGAGTTGGAAGCGACTTTAAAGAAAAGGATAATGATTCTCGATGGTGGTATGGGGACAATGATTCAAAGTTATCGCTTGGAAGAAGAAGATTTTCGAGGTAAATTGACGAATTTTATTTGTAGTATGCCATGTAAAATTACTTAAGGTACTTCACTGTTGTGTAACGCAGTATGACAGCAGATTTCGCAACTTGTCTCGTCAATGCCTGGCATCTTAATACTAGTATGCTATTTTTTACATGTTATAACTCTGTAGTTTTTCTTTTTTTTAACTTTTTTTCTGTTACAAATTTTGTGCAACGATTTTAGTTGTTCGTATATTGAATTTGATTTGTCACGCAATTGAGATTATTCAGTAAAACCACTTCACGGCGTTATGTTGTTGTTTGATTCACACGCATATTTTTACAGTCAAAGAATTAAAATTCGTTAATAGAATTAATCATTGTATACAAAATGCACTCTTTTTTAGGTGAAGAATTTAAAAATCATTCACACAACTTGAAAGGAAATAATGACTTCCTCAGTTTAACTCAACCTCATATCATTGAAGAAATTCACAAGGTAAACTTGTTTAGAATTTATGGTTATTTTTTTAAAACTTTTTTTTAAACACAGAGACGAGAAATCACTAACTCCAAACACCCCTCCCCCTTAAAATATTCTATGGAGAAAGACAAAAAAGGAAAACAAAACCCCAAAAAATACAAAAAAAAGACATAAAAGGAAAAAAAGGGGGGGCCTGGGGGGGGGGGGGGGATTCATTGGTTCATTTGATTATCATTATTTGAGTGATCTTTATGGGTCACTGATTCTGATCTGACCATCGAAATGGAGTGCACCCTTAGATAAGGATGCAAAGCTATAAGGAAGCAAAATTTGAGCACTGATGTCCAAGAAAAAGCTGATTAAGCTGATTTTCTGATTAAGTTGCTTTATAAGTTGCTTTTCCTCCAACTTCATTTTACACTGCTACTTCCTGTAATAGCTTTCCAGCACTAGAAAATCACAAACATTTTTAAAATGACACCAAAATCGGAAACAAAAACAGTTGACTCAAGTTAGCTTTGCCCTAAAGGGCATAATGCATTTCTAACAAAGGGCCAAATTTAAAAGGGGAAAAAACCTTTTCCTTCCCAACCACGGCACACAATGTTGTGCCACCATTCAAGCTACAAATAGTACTCTGAGTGGAAGGGAGGGCAAGTGACGGTGGATTGTTTAGTTCTCGAAGTTACCCCATTTGACAAAAGTGTCTCAACTATTATGTCAATGATTGCGGCTTAAGTTGAAAAAGTGAAATTCTATTTTCTGTTTGGGACACATTAGCACAGATTTTGTACCTGTGGCAACAGGTAAATGGTTGAGCATGTGATCACATGTGAGACCATTTTGTCTGAGGTTATGACATGCTTATGTGTCCTAATGAGATCCAAACAGTTGTCTGTGCAGCCATTACTAAGGTGAAATGGTAGACTTTCTGAATTCAAGTCCTTTGCAGTCTGGTAGACTTGTTCGCACTTTGTTGTGTCCTTTTGTCAACTTCTGTAGCTCAAGTTGTAGGCAAGACATCATTAGTTAAGACCTGATGACCTGAAGACCAGTCCTTGCCACAGGCCTACCACATCCATGCATAAGTATAATAAGGTACATGGACTGGCCAGATTGTAGGCTTGATGTTTTGGCTGAATTCTGGTCCAGCTATTAGGCACTTTGACATGTTTTCTCATTTTACTATCATCCCTACTGACTAAAGCAAATATTATTTTGAATTTCCTGAAACGGCTCCCGCTCCAAACTTAAGTTCTCGTTCAAACTGTTCGGCATTAAGAGTTCCATCAATAGCTTCACAGTTTTCATTAAACACAGAGTAAGGACTGGGTTCCCAAGGCTTCCTTGATCCTGCTTGCATACTTACATACACCCAGTAAAACATTGAAAGGATAAAAAACACGGTTCCAAACTCAATTTGAATGAAGAAACCCCAGAGTACTAACCAGAAGAGAAGTTTTAAGACTAATATCAACCAGTGTAAACTACGTTCATTTTGTTCTGTCACAAAATTGCTGAAAATCTTTGTCCCAAATGAAAACGTAGGTCTCCATACACTCCATCTGCTCTCTTTGTATTCTTTAGCTTTCTGAGCACGGTACTTTTGCAATTCCTTCTCCATGAATGTCAAGATAACGGCGGAAATCTTCAACTAACCTTTGCCTGCGTGTCATCCGCCATTTTAAAAATTGTTTTTGTTTTGGCGGGAGGGCTGGGGAGTAATCTTTTCACCGCTGCTCAAACAGAACTCAGGCGCATTGATTGCGTAAAAGTGAATTTCCAGCCACGAGACCTGATTTTAGAACGCCGATTACCATTGGTCGAGTCACGAAAGGCAGCAAAATTTCTCAAGAATAAACCAATCAGAATAATTTTAAGAAAGTACAACATGTTGCATAATTTTCGTTCCCAGACTCCTAATTTTTTACCTCACTTTATAATGGCGGGCGGTCAGACGGTGAATGCATGTGCTAAGGTTCATCGAGAAATCACTATCACGGTCTCTAAGGTTTTCATTTCTGGTTATAAACAATAGCATTTCTTCCTCCTCCAAGATGGCTCCTACTGTAAAAGCAAACGCACCCACAGAAGTGCAAATAGGTGAGCTAGCTAGAAATGCACAGTGCATCTTACCATCTTACTTTTGCACACGCCGGCGTGGGGGTTTATTTTTTTGTAAATATTTGACTGTGTTCTATGGTCTTGGACAAGTATTTTTTTTCGGGGAACTTACTCAGACGACCTCAGACTAAAATAGCAATAGGCTTGTCAGTGATATCTTTCCTCGGAAACTTATTGACACTCATTCACAGTCTGCCTAGCCATAGGTCTAGATCTATATCGTTATAGACGATTAAGCTTGTTTACCAAAATCTGTGCTTTTACGTTAGATGTGTCGGCAGAGTTGGAAGCGACTTTAAAGAAAAGGATAATGATTCTCGATGGTGGTATGGGGACAATGATTCAAAGTTATCGCTTGGAAGAAGAAGATTTTCGAGGTAAATTGACGAATTTTATTTGTAGTATGCCATGTAAAATTACTTAAGGTACTTCACTGTTGTGTAACGCAGTATGACAGCAGATTTCGCAACTTGTCTCGTCAATGCCTGGCATCTTAATACTAGTATGCTATTTTTTACATGTTATAACTCTGTAGTTTTTCTTTTTTTTAACTTTTTTTCTGTTACAAATTTTGTGCAACGATTTTAGTTGTTCGTATATTGAATTTGATTTGTCACGCAATTGAGATTATTCAGTAAAACCACTTCACGGCGTTATGTTGTTGTTTGATTCACACGCATATTTTTACAGTCAAAGAATTAAAATTCGTTAATAGAATTAATCATTGTATACAAAATGCACTCTTTTTTAGGTGAAGAATTTAAAAATCATTCACACAACTTGAAAGGAAATAATGACTTCCTCAGTTTAACTCAACCTCATATCATTGAAGAAATTCACAAGGTAAACTTGTTTAGAATTTATGGTTATTTTTTTAAAACTTTTTTTTATGAGTCAACATTCTTTGGTTAATCAAATTAAGACATTTTGCTTTATTTGTAATGATAATGAGCACTGAATTTAAGTGTTAAAAATACTCTAGGATACATGCTTATATTGAGAGACCCTTATAAGGGTAAAATTCCGAAAAGCGACGTGGCATTGAAACAGCAACATAGGACAGCAGAAATGACGACAAATGACACAAAGATGGGTTGAAACTGTGAAAACAACATGGCTTCCTCCTCAATATGGGAAATGACAGGTTGTGAAATTCAGACTAGGGACGTGTGCAAACCCTTATAGGGCCTCATTGGAGACATAACATAAGAAACTAGCAAGTGATACATTGCAAGTTGTTTATAGACAATAATAGCATCTTATAAGAATCTTACTTGTGAAAATCACTAGTAAGGTATTAAAAAAGATTTCTATGAAAATGTAATACATTGTATCCCAAGGATTATAGTGGAAGCTTTCCCAAAGGATACTCTCGTGACCAGACAGCTCTTCAGCAAACCCCATTTTTCTCAAGTCTGTTTACTTTCCCATAGACAACCAGCTCCAGTTACAGACATCTTTTTTGCGTCCCGAGGGTGTCCAGTTACGAGTACTTCCACTGTACAAAGAAAACATTCAGATAATTTATTTGTCACTGATTAAGGTTGAAAGCTAGCTTGTTCTACCTATTTATCTGCTTAAAATCACTTTTATTCATGGTATTTCATCATTCATGGGTAGGGATACCTAGAAGCAGGATCTGACATCATTGAAACAAATACATTCAGTGGAACCAGTATTGCACAGGCAGATTATGGAACTGAACACTTGGTGAGTGGTGAGACCTAGGGCACTTTCCATTTACCCAGAAATTCTGGAACTTCCGGTTGGCATGTTAATGGAACACGTTTTCCGTGCGTTCCACTGGAAAGTTCCTAGGAATAAGTGGAATTTTAAAAAGGTAGTCCTGTTTTCCAGTTGGAAAACCATGTTTCATTAACAAGTTTTTTGCAAGGAATCCCCAGCTCTTGCAGGTTGTTGACGGTGATATCTGTGCCACCATCTTGAATTTTTGTGACAACAGCATAAACAAATGGAACTTGTGTCAAATGGAACACGTTCTTCACCCAATCGACCTTTCCATGGAAGTTCCTGCCCCTAGCTACAATTTTCTGTAAATAATTGTATGATTCCTGGTTTATGCAATACATGTTACATGTTACTGATGAGGATAATTTGTTTAGCAGTTAATACCTTTTTTAACTCCTTTACACTTCTAACCATGTTTATTTTGATTTAACAGTGGAGTTGAAGGTTTAATTTTTGAAATTAATTTTTTGGGAATATTGACTGTGGTCATTACTGAGAGAGAAAAGATTTAAGAAAGCTCCAACATTTATTTATTCTTATCCTCTATTATTAGGTGTATAGGCTAAACAAGACATCTGCTGAAATTGCAAAAAGGGCTGCTAGAGAAGTGACTGAAACCACAGGTAAAGTGAATGAAAATTTTTCACATTTTCTTCAATATGCGTGTACCATACTGGGAACAAAGTGATGATTTAAAAGGCAGAAATTTTTATGTCATATAAAATAACCATTAGTAGAGATTTTTATTTGTTGTCTACCAAAATTTGTCACTAATGCATTCCATTGCTGACCTCACAAAGTTCTTTCAAATTTCTGGCAGCCGTTATTGGCCCCCAGCTTCCCAGGTCTTAAAATCGATGCCCCAGGTGGTGTTGCGTAAAGAAGTGATCAGTTTGAGACTCCATAACAACAACAACAAAATTTATTAATAAAAAGATAATATTACAGATGCTTTGCCCGCAGCTAGCAGGGCTATTTGAGGCAGGGCAATGCATGCAAAATATGAAATTAAGACTGAGGCTAACTATAAAGGAAAGTTTACAGTTTGCAAATAAATGAAATAATATGGATTCATGAGGTCTAGATAACACAATAAATAAGAAAGAATTGAACAAATAAATTGTAAAAGTAGAAACTAATAAGCAAGAATTTATTATTCATTATGTTTTGGCTAATTTTACCTTTTTAATGAACTTGGGCGTATCAATACAGTCATCCTCTGCATTCAAAATATCAAAAAGTTATTTGCAGAGTGTTTTTTTTTTAAGTTATATATTCTTGGGGAGATGTTGGATGTGACAGGGTATCTCATTCCACAGCTTAGCCCAAAAGCAAAAGAAAAATTGTTTATACAGGGCTCGAAATAATTTCTGGGGAGTCTCTGGACACGATGACCGGCCAAATTCATTTTAGCTCAGTCAACTCTTTAAAACAGGGTCCCTTGAACCAAAACTGGTGTTATATATTTCCAAAAAAGTTGTGGCTTAGAGCTTATAGCACTCTAAAGCACTCATTGTCAACAATAAAAATAACTTACAGAGGAGAAATGAATATAAGCTTATCTGTATTAACGGGTACACTATCTGTAAGACTAACCCGTAACACATATCATTATCATGTACACATTTAATTTGTCTGGCACCTCCAAATATAATGATTTCTGTATGTGTGAACCCCGATGTCTGTTTCAATGTGCGAATTGTAAACAATCCATATCCATAACCTGGAGAGTTATGTGCAGGTCCAACGAAAGGCATCTTATGTATGTATCGATGTTTATCAACTGCATAACTCAATCCTATTATTGTACTTTTTTAGGTGTGAAACGATATGTAGCAGGAGCCGTGGGACCAACAAACAGGACACTGTCCATCTCACCCAGTGTTGAAAATCCTGGATACAGAAATATCAGTGAGTCTTGATTCACTGTAGTTCAAACATTTTTTGTAGCCAAAGTCACTAAATGTGTGACCTGTGCACAATGATCATCAGCCATCAAGATTGTGCTCTAAGAAAAATTAAAGGAAGTTAGTGCTCTGAACCTGTTAGTGCTCTGAACCTGTGAAATCCAGGTGCTCGGCTTAAGGTATCAGCCACCCTTCAGGACCGTCCGTGCGCGGATCGCTGTAGCGTTAGTTGTTTTTATTAAAACCCCTATAAACCATATATTTTTTAAAAGCTTAATAATTCCAGATTATGGATTTGAACTAACAAAAACGATTTACTTAATTGTGTTTCGAAATTGGAACGCTTTGTGTAAAAGTACACGTCTCTATAAATCATATTCCACTCCCGCTGGAAATAAACGAAAGAAAACAATTAACACGCTTATTGTTTTCCATGTTCCATCAGCAGATGGGGTCGATGAGCTTAATTGGCTTTCTTCATCTGGCTCTTCAAGCTGGATTTCGGAGCAGCTTGCACTCTCAGAAACTGCAGCGTTTTCGCTTTTCTGAACATTCAACACCTCGAGCCACTTCTCTTGCCGATAAAATGAGCCTTTGTCGCTCTCTGCCAATTTTGCGGCCCATTCTTTGTCAAACTCACTCTTTGATTTCTTTTTCGCTCTCGGTTTTGATGACGGAAACGGACACGACCTTTTCCTTTTGGGGGGGGGGGGGGGGGATT